CCTTGTCTGGAAGATGGGACATGCGGAAAGTAACAACTCAATGTAAATGACTGGTTCAAATTACTTCAGCCAAGTAGATACTACTGTAGTACTAGTAGTTGTTGATGCAGTGAATTTTATTTACAGTTAACAGTAAGAGTTTAAACTACCGGTAGGTGAGCCCGTTGCTTTGCTGCTGGAGTTAATTGTCGGTTGGAGCAAGTTACTACCTATTTGTCGTCGTAGTTGAGCCTCGCATACTTTTCAGACATATTCTGTATGTAGTATGAGTTTGTCGTTGTCAAAACTCTCCTATCTGCGGTTGAACCGAGTTCGAAGATGGAATCAGTGCATGTGCTGTGGGGTAGTGTACCGTATGTAAATATGTTGGCATGGCATATCACGAAGTTACTTATGCATACAAAATTCAAATACACATGCAGAGTTGCATAGACGGAATTTCTCCGCAAAGCACTGCACCGTACACATGGTGCTTCTTGCCACACCGAAGTTGGCAGCCACACCAGGATACAGTATGCACTATGGGAGAGAGTTGATTGGCCATTGACCACATTGAGAAGGTGCTGCAAGTCAGCAGTCCCGTCCAAGTTGTACAGTACAAATTCTTGACGCCGTTTGCTGATTTGATTGTTGACTAGAAATCGGACTGCATCACGGAAAAACGCGAATGAATTCACGGAAAGTCGCCGGAAGTCCAATGGTCAGTCATGACTAACCCCAAAAAACGTTCAATAATTCTGGATACCGTTGAGCCAAGACTGAAAACGTTCAAACTAATAAACTCTAGTTAGATGAAGCATATTTTTTGTACTCTGACCCCCTCAACTCATAGTAGGGGTTAAGCATTATACTTCGAAGCACCCAGGGTTACGGGAAGAAAATTTGCTTGAACGGTTTTCAGTCTTGACTGTATCCAGATTTATTGAACGTTTTCCCATAGTTTCCGGTCGGTCATCCATCCCCAAGAGTACAGCGGGTTAATATATATGATGACAAAGAGAATTCCTCGACCATTCTTAAAGAAACTTACTACTGTACGTAGTATGTGTGACAATCGTCAGATATTCGCGGCCTGTCTATACGACTCAAATCATATTATCCATGCAATCGTGTCACGAACTACCCACCTCCGATCATTGGTAGAATTTTCAATAATATGAACGAGCAAAACGTTGTCTGAACCCACACGTTTAACTATAAAAACGTAATTAAACGGTGTTCTTACACGTCTGTCGCACCTCCAAATTGGTTTCGCAACACAATTCCATCACTATTGACTATTATGAACTGAGTCCAGTACCAAAATATGCAACCAATCATGACCGATCTTTTGGTATATTCTGTGCCAAGAATTTCATATTTTCTCAAAACTTAATCGCAAAGTAATCGAAGTCTTATACTAGTGGCGCGGACTTTATATACTTGTCTCCAAATGTGAATGCAAAAGAAGTCCACGCCCCCCCCTATACACAAGCCCCCCAAACCTTGCACGCATTGTTGAATTTTCTTCATGAAGACAATTGCCATTCTTGCGCTTGCCTCGTCGGCTGCAACTTTTGTCACGGGGGATACCGCTGCCTCGGTACAAGGAATCGCCCCCACGCCGAGCATTCGTTCCGGTGGCACGGAAATCTTAGAGGTGTTGGGTCGATTTCCCGAGCTCGTCAAGGAATTCGACGTCAAAACTACTGCCACCCAAGGCGACAAGGACGTCAATACTGACACCCAAGGCGACAAGGACGTCAGTACTGACACCCAAAGCGGCACGAAAATCTTAGAGGTGTTGGGTCGATTTCCCGATCTCGTCAAGGAATTCGACGTCAAAACTACTGCCACCCAAGGCGACAAGGACGTCAATACTGACACCCAAGGCGACAAGGACGTCAACAGCACCGACGCCCACGTCCTGTGCGGCGTATGAAAAAAATTTCTTGTGAATTAATTCATTTTTCGTATAAAAATGAATTGTTTCTTTGCATGGTTCGTATAAAAATGAATTATTCTTTTGTAAGGAATGAGAAAATGAATACTAGTCCCTTGTTTCTGGAACAATCAGAAATAGGTTTTTCGAATTTCCAGGGCAGATGATATATTGGTTGTGACAGCTCGTAGTTACCTACTTGGCTTCAAAACCACTTGTAGAGATGGATGGTTAGGGCATCCCCAATGGTTCGACAGTGTAATCAGACTGCATATTGATGTTTGCCGTCACTTTATTATACGACGCAACTACGTAGTACAAGGAATTACTACATCCGGATACACCTTTTCACCAGTAGCCCTGTAACCTGGGACTCCGTCCTACCCCCGGTGAATACATACGATGATAAATCTCCGGGGTTAACTGCATCGCCAGTGGTTAGCTATCGCTAATTACTGAGATGCACTTAAACCCTAGTAAGAGGTTAGGTGGTCTAAGGGCATCCCCACCGGTGCGACTGTATAATCAGACTGTAAAATACCGTTTTACAGTTTCTGTATTTTGTTTTTTGTCAACCCCAGCGGTAAAACTGTAAAATATCCGATAAACGTTCTTATCCGAAAATGAACGCCTGGCGCGCATGTTTGTGCGACGGCAGACATGGATCAAGCTTGGGAGATTCTTGGCTTTCATCAGTCTCCTGCGCGCCCTAAAGGCTCTACTGCCAACCGCCAGCCAAACCTACCACGAGATAGCGAGGCTGCGCATGCTCGGATTTACCGTGACTACTTTGGCCCCAATCCAATCTACGGCGAAGCCAAGTTTCGCCGTCGTTTTCGAATGGCCAGACCGCTGTTTGAACGAATCATGGACGGTGTGGCGATGCGTGATGAGTACTTTCTGCAACGTGACGATGCGACGGGGAAGCACGGACTATCACCCTTGCAGAAATGTGTCGCCGCTCTCCGGATGTTGTGCTACGGTTTGGCTGCTGATGCGGTCGACGAATATGTCAAGATTGGAGAAAGTACAGCATTGATGTCGTTCAAGGTAGCAACAGTCATATATTTACATTTACTAGTGTAAATATGAAGATGCAATATACTATTAGTAATTGGTGCAGTTGAATTCATTTCTACTACCTACTGTGGTTGTACTACCTACTGTGGTTGTGAAATATTAATAAGTTAAATACGTAGAGATTCAACCAAGCTATCGTCGACCAATTTGGGCCAACGTACGAACGCGAGCCTACTGCAATGGACGTGCAACGTTGCTATAACGTTGAATGCCGAACGCGGTTTCCCAGGAATGTTTGGCTCGTTGGACTGCACGCATTTGCAGTGGGCAAAGTGCCCTGTAGCCTTCCAAGGTCAATACCAAGATCGGCGTGGTGACAAGTCCATCATTATGGAGGCGGTGGCGGGTCCCGATCTGTGGGTGTGGCATTCGTATATTGGCTTGCCGGGGTCGAATAACGACATCAACGTGTTGGATCGGTCGCCACTCATCGAGAAAATCATTGGGGGAGTGGCGCCACACTGTAGCTACGTCGTGAACGGTCATGCCTACACCATGTCGTATCTCCTCGTTGACGGCATTTACCCAAATTGGCCTACTTTCATGAAGACAATTGCTCAACCACAAGGAGAAAAGCGGTAATGGTTTGCCAAAATGCAAGAAGGGGCTCGGAAGGACGTGGAGCGTTGCTTTGGTGTTTTGCAATCACGATTTGCGGTTCTCCGGCAACCGTGTCGCTTGTGGGAGGTGGCGGACATCATTGTCATGTGGCGTGCATGCATCATATTGCACAATATGATCATCGAGTTCGAACGGAAAACTGTACCGTACAGCCCAGCCAATGTAGGATGCGACGAAATTTACATCGCACCGGATTATGTTTGGTGTGAAGGACCAACATTTTCCTCTATATTGAATTCGTTGGATAGTGTTTAAAACCAAACGGCATATTTCAAACTCCGTGAGGATTTAATCGCCCACTTGTGGTCGGAAAAACTGTCGAATAATGAACGTTGACGGACATCGTCGTCGGAGACAATGTCGTCGTTCTCGTCTAATTTCATGCGCTTTTTTGCACGGTCATTGCCAGGCTGTTGGCTGCGAAAGTCCTGCCACTTTGGTACGGTGCGCAAAATTTCCCAGGCATGCAAAAACAAGAAGCGCGACTGCTTGCCACGTGCATCAGCCTTATTCGCGAAAAGCTCCTTGGCACGTCGCACCAGCTCGGCATCTTCCGGTCCATCACTCTCCCCGCTTGTAAGCTTGGACCTCACCGTGGCAAAACATCCCACGTTGCATTGATCCAGGATGGTGGCCCAGCGTGACGACAACGAGCGCCCAGAGCGTTGGATTGCGCCGTCGGAGTACTGATTGAAGTTGGTTTCGATACGCGACCAGAATTGGTCTGACTTCTGACCGCTACCCTTGGACGCATCTTGAGAGATGTTGATCCATGACCGGGCAAGCTGGCAGTCTTCGTCGGTCGTGAAGTTGGAGCCACGGTCGGCCTTGGCTGATTCCATTTCTGAACCAACTGATTGTTGACTCCATAA